TAGTTTTTTCCATTTCTGATAAAAATGTCATTGGAATTTTGATGGGGATTGCATTGAATTTATATATCACTTTGGGAAGTATGGACATTTTCACAATTTACACTCTTTACTGATACATGATATTCTTCCTCACATGTGTGACCTTAATTACTTAACTTCTCCTGGTCTTGGTTTTCTCATCTGTAAAACAGAGTAATAATAATAATGCCTAGTTCATAGGGGTGATATATACTACTACGTGTGACATATATTAGGTGTTCAATAAATATTGGTTGAATAAGTTAAGAAAAGAATGATAGACTGATGATTAAAAAATGTAAGATACGTGAGCAGACTCTGTAAAGTGCATTATACAAGAATCAACTTTGTATTATTATGGCATCAATGACTACGTATAGATTTGTGGCAGAAAAATATGGAAAAGAGTTAATACCACAAATCAAAGTACAACTACTCACCATTGTTCATAAAGCCCTTAAAAATATGCACAAGAGTTTAATAATCTTTCCAATGATAAGAATACAAGCATAGAAAATGAAGTTATTGGAATTTTCCCTTTTATTTCTGAGTAGTTGAAGAAGCGTTCTATAATCTAAAAGCTTTATCTGTATTATTGCCAGGAAATTAGGCCATTAAAAAAGATAGTGTTGGATCTCATCCAGCTGAAATAGCCAAAGACAAAATGGCCAGCAGCACATGTAAAGTTTACATTTAATTTTTTTAATTAAGTGCTGGTTATTATTCAGGAAATGCTCTTGAAACAGTCTTATAACAATTCCCTAGGGGAAGAAGAGGCAGGGTGATTGTGAAATTTTGCACCAAGTGCTAGACTCAAAGTCTCAGAAATTCTTCTGGGCTAGAGATAACCATTTCCAGCTATTGCCTTTCCAAAGAGGGATGAATTACATACTAGGTTAGTGACAGATGTAGAAACAACAAAATTAAACATTTGGGGGTGAAACTTTTTTCAGGAAGAAACTGCAGTCAGTGGTGCTTCATTATTTCCTTCCATTTTTCAATTGTTCTTTATTACAAGATGATCACTCCCAAACCTCCTTAAGTTTTGTCATGTGCTTCTATTATTTTTTTTTTCCTCTAGCAGTTTGGAATTTCCAAGTGCCCCTATATATACACGTTATTCTCTAAAGTGCCATCCGATAACAGTCTGTTTTTTGATTGAAGGAGTTTGACTCTGAGTCGCTCCCCAGAGTATGCCAACTAATGTCTCTCAACACCATATTTGTGTAATTAAGGATTATCAGCCCTGGAACCCATCTGAGCTCCTCAGTGCCTCACACATAGTAGGTACTCAGATATGTTTACTGAATTGACTAAGTAGCACCCAACCATAGATCTCTGAAATGAACTAAACATTCATGCACTCTGGTATCAAAAATAACAGAATTCTTTATAATGGTAGAGTTGCTAAAGACTATGTATCTAAAGCATCTTTATTATTTTTCATCACTAATTTATGAGTAAGGAGAGTAACATTTAATTACAATATAATTAATAACCAAACTCCTGAAAGAACATGTGATTTCTTAAAAGTTATTGATCTAACTTTTTAATTATTTGTTAAGCTTAGTACTACTGTTTGCCCTAATTTGTGCCTTAAAACTAGATACTATTTTTTGTGATAGTTAGGAAACTATCACAATGGAGATAAAATATAATGAAACCCCAAATTAAGGCAGTGGTCACGGGGGTGGAGTAGAGTGGGAGCATTCGTAATGTTGCAGGAGATAAAATCAACAAGGCTTAATGAGAGAGATGAAGAGGTCTAAGAAACTTCTAAGATTGTGGCTTAGGCGAGAAAATACAGAAATGGTGATCTACCACTAACAAAGAGAGAGAATAAAGGAGGAAGTACAGGTTTTAGGGCAAGATAAAGAATTCACCCTGGGATATCTTAACTATGAGATGCCTATAATCCACATAGGTGAGATATGTAATGTACAGTTGTAAATATGCACGTAGAATTCAGGAGAGGGGTCTGGCTAGGGATGTGGTTTTAGGAACCACCGGCATGTAGGCTAATGAAAACCCTGGCAGTGGAAGAGGTCTCTCAGAGAATGTGGGCAGAGATGACTGAATGAAATGAAGTTATTGTTAAGGAAGAGGCAGAGGACCATTTAGGAAAGGGGAAGAAAAACCATGAGTGTGTGGTGTTATGTCAGTCAAGGAGAGCAGAGCCCATGAGAGTTCAAGTAAGGAAAAGACTAAGAAGAAATCACTGAATCTGGGAATTGGAAAGACATTGCTAACTTCAGAATGCACCATTTTAGCAAGATGGCTGAGGCAGAGTTGTATTTCAGTAAGTGTGTGTAGACTGGATAGCATACTTTGATCCAAATAATGAAATAATGATCCAAATAATGAAATAGTACTCTAAAGATCCAATTAAATGGAACCAGAATGTTGTCCAGCTCTCTCACTCTGTTGCTTTAGTTCCTAGCACATGATGGTAACAGATGACTTTTTTTCCTTTTAGACTGATATAAAGTCGTAGGTTCTTAAGTTTTCTTGCTGAATTTCTACTTAATATTTCCGCTGGCCTAGAAGACAATAATGTTCAGAATTAAGGTTTCCCCCTGCTGTGAAGTCTTCTTTCTGGGGTGAAGGGAGTGAAGTAAATGTCATAAGATTGAGAAATTTGCCTTTTTTCCTCCAATTGCCTATCTTTCCTTCTGGCTTTTAATCAGACTTCAGTCCAGAGCTCTAGACAAAAGAGGAAGTAATTAATAGTTCTCGAATGAATAGTATACAGAGCCAAAAGAGAAGTTTATCACCCTTACATAACAGATATGTATCAATTAGTCTTTGAAAGCAAGACAAGCTGAAAATAATTAACAGATTAATATACACCAAAAAGATGTAGGATAAGGCTAGATCACCTTACATGGAGTTCTGTAGTATTCTGTGGCTTTTGATGTAGCTATTCCAGACCATGTCTTGTAGTAATCGTTAAATGAGACTACTTTAATTGCTCTGAAAATATAAGTAAAAATCAGACAATGGATAGTTTGCAAATTTGCTTTTTAAAATTATTTTATCAGAGTAGACTGGTCAGATAACAATATCTTGTCACAAAATATTGGACTGATTTGCAAATTCTAACATGTATTTCTAACAAATGAATCTAACATTAATTTCATCACTAATGAATACAAATCACAAAAAAAATCTGTCCAAAACATTTTTCAGTAATAAACATAAATGTGCATCCATGTATATATTATAAAAAGAAAAATATAGGTTTAAGACATCTGCATTTCATGACTAATACTTAAAAAGAATTTTAAAGCATTATACCTGTAAATTTTCTTTCTACAATAAACAATTTTCTTGAACATCAATGCCAAATTTTAGTAAAATCACCTTTGTTTTCTTATTATTATGAGGAGAGAATAAAAGCATCAGAATTGAGATTAGTTTAATTTTGACACAGAATCTGGCCATTAAATTCTCAACACA